CAATACCTTGCTTGGAGTAGGTGCTCAATAAATAATTGTTCATTTCATTTAATATACAGGTGTCCACTTATATTTAAGCCCCCAAGGAAAGTATTTTTTTTTATTGCAAACATATTACAAATACTTACTTTTCACTCTGTCATCCTAACTACTGATGTGGCTATAGTTTAACCTCATTACACAGCAAATGAGAGTTTTTTGATTCAACGAATATTAAAGTTTAAGTCCCTCCTTCAGATGCTTCATTTAGCTGTAACCACTGCCTTGTCTCTGGACTCTTGATAACAAAATATTTATGGATCTCCCATTAGGGAAAGATCTAGACTTTCTGGGTTGGTTCGCCACCCCCACCTGTTTCAGGGTGTAGAGGAGAGGGAACTGGAACCCACAAACAACTTCAGCTCAGGCTGCCTCCCTTCACCTGTTCTGCAGGTGGGCCCCAGGTGATCGCCAGACTCCAGACTCGTCCATAGAATCACTCTGCTCCTTTGTTTGATCACCAGTTGTTTTCTCGGCCTGTTTGTTTTTCTGGTTTGGTTTCCTGTCCTGTTCATTAGTCATTTAGTTCTTCCTTGTTTGTTCTGTCTCCTGTGAGTTTCTGCAGGTTACCTCGCTCCTCAGCACCGGAAGGCTAATGTCCTTTGTTCCTCGTATAATCTGCTTTATGGTGGTGGCAGGGAGTTGTTAGACCCCTGTGTACATGTTTGGTGTACAAGGAAGAAGGTTAAAGAGTTACTTGGTAGGGACGATGAGTTTGTAGGAATGACCAGTTCCTTGGTAAGATCATACTCCTTGAACCTTTAAGTATTCAGAAGGATTTCTAAAAAAAGACATCTGGGGCATGGAACACTGACACTCTCAAGTGTTAGTGTGTTTACATTTTGTTTTGTTTTTTAACTTGTTAATGGAATGTACTTTTTACCAAGTAAATATATACCTGCAGTTGTTCACAGCAACTATATAGCATACAAAACTGCTCTCTGGAAAACAATTCCTGTAACCAACTACAGAGGATCGAGGGAGATTTACGTGGTGTCAGCTGACACACGGCATCATTTGTCCCTAGTGAAGATCACATTTAATGTGTGGTCTTAACTGTGCTGGCACAAAAGCTTAGGACGGGATGCTCTTTAAATTTCACTACCTGTTTTTGAGTTTGTGTTTAGATTTCATTTGAACAGATCGAGGCTGCTCAAATCAGAAAATTGGGCTCACAAAAGAATCTTGATTATTATGGACTGCCACTAATTTGGAATTTTTCATTATTTCGAATCATTTGAATGGACTGAGCTACAACGTACTTTGTATGATCTGAGGAAAAGAGAAAATCCATAATTTTGATCGTGAAATGTGGTAATAAAAGTGCTTAGAGAAACTGTTTTCAAGTTGTATGAATAGCATTTCAGTCCTTTCTGGTCACAGGGAAATCAGTTGAGAAAAATGCAACAATCCCTGTTCCTGGAGATCCTGGGATGGTAGGTCCAGGGTAGGAACAGAAGAGCTAGCTTCTCAGCAAATGTTGCTCAGATGATTCTCACTATCAGACAAGTTTTAGAAACCTTGCTTTAGAAGCATCCACCAAAAATTTATGCAAAAATAACAAATGAATATCCTCTACTGAGAAAACCATTTTCTCTGTGTCCCCACTTTTCTAGTTAAGAAATACTCAGGGCCTTATTATAATTATTGATTATTCCTGAAAGTGACAATTCTATGACTCAGCATACAGAAGATTGCCAGGTATGAACGAGGATTAATAAGCAAGTCAGATGCAGGTCTTGCTTTTGAGGAGTTCATAATCTAATGATAAGACCGGGTTTGTTAATTCAATATTCCCAAAGAATCTTGAATTAAATTTTACTGACCTATTCTATTCATTAAGTCAACACATATAAAGCTTCTTCCCAATCAAAAATATCTCCCCTGTCTTCAAGAGGGAGGCAAATGTGGAAAAAATCAAGTAAGTTGACAAATGACACTAGAGGCTTGACCTGCTATGACATGCTATAACAGCCTACAGAGGATATTGTGAAAAGATCCCTGACTTATCCAAGGGACGTGTGTGTGTGTGTGTGTGTGTGTGTGTGTGTGTGTGTGTGTGTGAACAGAAGTTACTAAGGTGACAGAGTGTCACAAACAGTTTAGCCTGTGCATTGGGTGGCCTCAGGTAGTTGAGTAAGACCAGAGTCACAACTTTTCCTACTTATACAACTTAATCCTAGTATTTGGGTATTAGCTAATTGGGAAGGGGACCAAAACAAACCAGACTTAATTCATCCAAAAAATAAAAAATGACCTTATACTTTTGTATGGCAGAATTTAATTCCATATTGAAATTTGCTGTAAATCTGTTGTTTTGAATAACAAAGTACCTCTAATCTAATCAGGTAAAATTTGGGAATGAAAAGGAGAAAGGGAAGAAGAGAGAGTACCAATCATTTGCTTTCCCATCTCCAGAACTCAAATTCTTTACTATTTCTATGATTTAAATGTGATATACTAGGATTAATTTCTCCTCATAGTCATGAATAATATTATAAATTTACATTTATGTTAGGGTGTGGTGGTACACTCCTGTAATTCCAGCTCCTGAGGAGGCTAAGGCAGGAGGATCTCAAGTTCAAGGCCAAACTGGATAATTGGGTGAGACCATATCTCAAAATAAAAAGGACTGGAAACAGTTGCTCAGCACTTACTTAGCATGTGCAAGGCCCTGGGCTTAATCCCCAGTACCTCAAAAAAAAAAAAAAAAGAAAAAAACTTACTTTTCTGCACCTATTAGTTGTTGCTAAACAAAGTTGTTTTCTTTTATATTTAGCAATTCTTATGTCAACCTCTTCTGCTAATAAAATTAATATTTGCTTTAAAAGAGTGGACACCCTTTTTCAATTTTTCTCCTTTAAATCATTTATGGTTTTAGTTAGGACAAAAGCAAATGAATAAATATTTAAGTTGGAAATGATTCTAATATAATTTTAATTCATCCCAAAAATTGTTTTAAAAATTCAATTTTATTATAATTATTCTATTGTGTTACAACATACTGAGGTAATATAATTTCTTCAAACTGGAGTAAAAGTGTTTATGAGTCAAATTTTCTAACACATTAAGGGTTTGAAATTTCAAATTTGTGATTATTAAGCAAACTTGTAGCTATAAAATATATCTACGGATATCTCCCTAGAGTTGCCCTGTTCTTGTTAGATATACTTAATATGCTATAAATCACCCTTCAAAAATTGTCATCAGATTTCTGGTTTCTCCTGGAAAGCTACTTCTGGAAAGCTGGTAGGAGAATGATTTACTTTTATTTCAATGCCAATTAATCACTGTTGCAGACAACATCATGTTATACAAATCAGACAGAATTCCTGCTGCAATTAATTTCTAACAGAAATATTAGCACTTTAGCACTTGGATTTTTTTTTTCTTTTGTACCAGGAATTGAACCCAAGGCTGCCTAACCACTGAGCCACATCCCCAGCCCTTTTTAATGTTTTATTTAGAGACAGGGTCTCTCTGGGTTGCTTAGGGCCTCACTAAGTTGCTGAGGCTGGCTTTGAACTCACGATCCTCCTGCCTCAGCCTCCCAGACTGCTGGGATTACAGGCATGTGCCACGGCACCTGGCTTGGTTCTTTTTAATCAGGGAGTCAATCAAAATTTTATTGAAATACTGTAATCAACAAACAAGATCAATGGATATTTATTGAGTCCACTGACTGTTAAGAAGGCTGTATCTTCAAGGATTATTCCATTTTGTGCCCACTTAAGCAGTAGAATCAACACATTGTGCAGTTTAGAAGATGTAGAAAATTGACCCTATTTTTAAAATGCAAATAACCTGGTTGGAAAGATGAAGACAATATACATAAAACTATGGAGAAAAATAAGCTGGACGCAGTGTGACTTTTGGATACTCTGCAGTGTACTATTGCTATTGGTGAGTAATCAAAAATGAGGCTATCAACATGGAGTGAGGCGAAACTCAAAGAGGTGCTTATTTACAGTAGGGAGTCCCTGTGGGCTCCTGAGTAGAGAGTGACATGGTGCAATTGCACTTTATGAAGATTTTTTTTAGGTCTCTACTTCTTCCACTTTTCACTCATTCAAGAGCTAAGTAATAGTATCAATTATGTATCTCGAAAATTGTCATCTGATCTAACTAATGGACTGTGAAACGAAAAACATAGTCCTGACACCTTGCCTTCAAGTAGTACAGGATTTTATATTGTGGGCTCATTTTCAGAGGGCATAACCAATGGCTCAGGGGATTAAAGTATAAATAAAATAGGCTTAAGGTGATTTTAGACCTCAGGCAGATAAGCTTTAATCTATGAAGATGGCTGCAATTAGCAAGAGTCTCAAAACAAGAAATTTGCTTGTTTCTGTAATCAACTTGTCCTTGAGAAAAGGTAGATAAATGTATAAACTGTGCAGCCAATTCTCCCTAATGCCTGCCCATGACAGACATTACTAGCCGATGGCTGAGTTTTTTCTTGTTGAGTTCTGATTTGCATTCCATCCTTCCAAAAAGCTCTAGGAATTTTCTACCAAGTGGTTAGATAAAACTGTTTTTCACCCTGAACTAGCAGGCAGCTTTGCCTAAAATAGTGTGTGTGTGTGTGTGTGTGTGTGTTCTTTGTTTTAATGTACTGGGGATTGAACTCAGAGTTTACACATGCTAAGCAAGTGCTCTACCACTTTTTTGATTTTTGTTTTGTTTTGAGACAGTCTTGATGAATTTCCCAGGCTGGCCTCAAATTTGCAATCCTCTTGCCTCAGCCTCCCAAGTGCCTAAAATAATGTTAATTATCTCACTCAAATAAGGACACCCATTGACTTAAATATATATTTTTGAAACCACAATATCTTTATGTCCCTCAGTTAATGTCCCTCATTTAACACTAAAAAAAAAAAAGAGTTAATTGGTTCTCGAAATTCTCTCGTGCTTAGTCGCAGAATAATGTATTGAAAGAGTGATTGTTGATTCTTTCGCAGTTCACATTTCAAGTAAACAGACATAAGACATTCAAAGCACCTCACCAGGAACTCTCTGAAATATACTCTGAATGACAAGGGGATGACAGCAAAGGCCCATCTTCTCCTAACCTTCCTTCCAGGGTCTTTGAGCTGCAAATAGAGAAGCCTAACCCACTCTCATGAGCACCAGGGCACTCACTGCTGAAGATGAGAAGACAGCCCAGACCCTACTACTTCTCTCACGTGATCCTCCCTCTTAAATCCCTGATGTAGCTGTTATATCCCTATTTTACAAATTAGGAAATTGAGGTTTGGAGAAACTGAGTCACTTTTTCAAGTTCATATAACAACTATGAAGTGGAGGAACCCTGGTTGGAAACTGTTTTATTCCACCAGCACTGTTCAATGGAATTTTCTATGATGATGGAAATATTATATATATCTGTGCTAAGACAACTACTACCAACTACATGTGGGTGTTGACCACCTGAAATGTGGCTAGTGCAACCAAGCAATTGAATTTTAATTTTGTTGAACTTCAATGTAAAGAGCTATTGATGACTACTGGTTACAGTATTGGACAGCACAGTACCAGATGGTGATCTCCCTGAGGGCAGGTGCAATGTATGTTTTGTTGATGGCTGTATCTTCAGTATTTAGCAGAGTCTAGTATAGATTGCACACACGATGCAATAAAAATCTTTAAAATCTGTGCACGTAATTCACATGGAAATCTTCTCCCTAAAGCACCACCTCTTTAGAACTCAGGACCTTCATGCTTGGAGAGTCACCATTATCACTGGGATTAGAGTAAAGATAATGTTATTTATCTACTCAGCATATGAAACAACATTAACCCAAATAAAGCCAATTTTGTGATGAAAATTTTACCTGTAAATCATGGATCAGAGGACACAATTTAATTTTTTTCACCTTTCTTAGCAGAATAAAATGAATTTTTACTTAATATAAAGACCCCAAATGAATTTCAAGTTATTTGCCAGTTTTCCAAGTGTAGTGGGGAATCATTTCTCTCAGTAAATGATTATAAATATGGTAATCACCCACTATTGGCAACAGAAGGAAGTTAAGATATGGTTTATGTGGATAATTCCAAAAAACATCTCTTCAAAAGAGAAAAATGTAGTGCATGATTTTTTTTTTGAGCTGCATGATACTAAAGAGCTAGTTCTTTCTCTTTTTTGTGAAAATAAACTACACATATCATTTTGCAAATAGTTTTAATAAAAGATTTGCATTTTATTAATAAAAATAAGGTTCATACTAATGTGAGATATTTCCGGGGTGTGACTTTTGATGGTTATTTGGTACATGACAGTTTGCAAATGTACTATAAGAAACTCTCAAATTCTTTTTTAATTAGGTGGAAAAAAACACCTTTACCTTTGGGCATGTTTCTAGGAAGTCATGATCTATGACTTTCATGAAAGTCACCCAGGGAACTTGTTGAAAATGCAACCTGTCAGCTGCCAATCAGAGAGAGTCTGATTCACAAGGTGATGGGAAAGGCTTGGGAATTTGCTTTTAAGAAACACTTATAATTTTGGTCCATGAACTACACTTTCAGAAATCCTACAAATCCAGAATAACTGTTATGGATTAGGGAAAACATTTATTTGATGGAATGTCTCCTTTCTCAGGAAGCACACAGAAAAGATTCGCTCAGGTCGAGCAAACATTGTAGACAGCCTTGCCACATCAGCTCCATTATTTTTACTCCCACACCACCATTTTGTGCTTTGTGTGGGGGGGTCATTAACCCTTTATTCCTAGTTCTAGAATTAGGAATATTGTTAGTTAGTTCAAGCCCACATCCATTGACAACTTAAACCAAACTGGTTCTATCAGAGTGAAATTCCTGACTTTTGTTTGGTTAGAAGAAAGTTACACTCTCTTTCTACCCAAATATGAGAAAGAATGTGGTCACAGGAGCTGTTGGCACCCTTCTTTCAAGCATGAGAAAAATAAGATTTGGAATAAAATTTACATCGTGAACAAAAGACAGAGCAAAGAGTTGGAAAGTGTTCTTAGGGGCATTGTTGAGCTAGATCAAGCCAAACTTGAAGCCAGCCCTAATCTGTAGGCTTCTCGGTTATGCAGGTCAATATATTCTTCCATTCTTTTGAACAGTTTTTCTCTTATTTGGAACATAGCAAGACCTAATTGATACAAGTGCTGTTTCATATTTTATCCACCCATTTTTCTCTCTTAGCTTTGATCTTTGTGTCTTCAACATGTTGTTTCACCCTTCTTTCTCAAAACCCTGTTAAGCATTCTGTAAGAGTATAGTTAAGTCTAAGTTCTCATCACCCCTCTACCTCTACCTTATAAGTGCTACCAAAGCCCTTAATGTTTTTCTTCACCTGCCACTTTCTCTGCTCACTAGAACTATCATCAGGTATATAAGTGGTTTTAACTCCTTGCTAAAGAGAGCTATTAAAGAACCTTTGAGTGATTTAACGAAAGTCCAGAGCTGTATGAAAAACTGCCTTTCCAAAGATTTGACACATGTACTGGCTCTCTGTCAGAACCTCCACGCAGTTTTGTTCTTGCTATCCTAGGATTTTAGGTGTACTTCAAAAGCACTGAGATAGTCTTCTCCATTTCCTTCTCTCATGCAATATCTTTTCATATTTTGTCTCATCACAATAGAAAAAGATGCAGATACAGAGAAAACCATGTAGACATCCAACAGAAGTCACACAGCCCTTTGCAAGGGCCCGAGGAGCAGTTGAATAGATGAGTCCACCAAAGAAACCCCCGTGGGCTGCCAATCTTCTGTAAAAGAAGCAACAATGCTGGGGTTCAGTGCTCTGGAAACTGAAAGCAGAAAATCCCTTTTTTCTTCCCTTCACTTCAAGAAATGGAAGCAAATGAAATTTAAAAATTGGTAGTAGAAATTAAATCCAGGGTGGGCTGGGGATATAGCTCAGTTGGTGAGTGCTTGCCTCACATGCACAAGGCCCTGGGTTCAATCCCCAGCACCACAAAAATAAATAAATAAATAAATAAATGGAAGAAATTAAATCCAGGAAATTTGTAAGGCAGAAAGAAAAAAAAATCAAATCAAATGGAATTTTAAACAACTTTTCCACAGCTTTGAAAGAACTTTCTCTGAAAACTTCCAATTACTTCATGGGTCTAAGTGGTTTGAAACAATGAAAGCCCATGGAATATTTTCATTAATCTCTTGTTTTCAAAGGAAAGACCATGGAAATCATGTTCTTCTAGAGAAATGTTATCACCATACTTACTTGTTTGTCTATTTATTTTGTTGTTGCTGTCTGCTTTATCACTTATATAATGTTAACATTCTTTTAAAATGGGCAGATGGACCTCATTCAAGTTCTGACAGTAACTCTTTGTTATTGGTACAAATGGCTTCAGAGGTATTTAATTACCATTAGTAGTCATCCGTTTGCTCCTAGCTGGTGACATTTGGAATAGTAAGCAGGCAGCATTCTTTGTGTCCAGTGAGTTCATAGAAAGTTAAACCTACTTTTGACAACAGACTCAGGCTTAGCCACCATTAACCCCTCTTCAGTTACTGGATGATGTGTTTGAACAGTATGAATGATTAATGAAGGCTAAATAGTCCAGTTTCTATCTTAAAACCTTTATATTAACTGCTGGAGATATGAATGACTGGCAAGGTAAGTTTAGCTCAAGCCAGTATCTATGTAACTTGTTGCTTATACTCTGAAAAAAAATAATAATAATCATAATCCATCAGCTACTTATTTTTGAGAGATGCAATAAATTAGAAACTCTCATTCTGATGATTTTTTCCTTTTTGTAGACTAAAACCAAGAGCCATGATTGTTGCCAGCTTGGCATCAAAAAGTAAACTTGGCTTACATGTGGAAACTAAGTGCATGGTTGCTTTTTCTCAAGGAAACCAAGGTGATATGTCATAAACTTGTAGCAGCCCATTACAAAGCTCCTGAAAGTAACCTCTGAATTTTGCTGAAGCAAATTCCAGGAATAATCCTAGGAAAAGGTCAACATAGCATCCATTCAGTTGAAAAAGCCACGTGTCTGGCAACTTGTTAGAGGTAGGTAGATGCAGAAAGATGATCAGGTCATTTACTACTTGATCGCTAGGAGGCATCCCCCCTAGAGTCGATTTCTCTGGAGACACTCTGCACAAGAGATTAAGGACGAGAGGAGGCAGAAACCAAAAATTCATGCAGAGGATCAAAACCGTGAAGATGACAGCTGGCTGCAAGAAATGGAATCACAGGAGAAAAGGAAGAAGCATTTTAAGAACACAACACAGTGTGTTTATGTGGCCTTGCAGGGGTTTCTTTGGCTAGAAAATATATATTTTCTATTTCATTTTTGTAATTTTATAGCATTTAAGGCATCAACTATAATATATTTATATTTGCTCACCCAAACAGCCCAGAACTTGAGATGCATACAAGTGACAAAAATACATCTATCTAACAGCCTTTGTAAAAAAGTGAACAGAACACTTAATATTTCTTATTTGGTAGTCTATAGAGCATATATATTTAACAGTTTCCAAATAAAGTGCCTCAGGGTATTTTTCATTAATTGATTGCATGCTAATTTTTATAATGTGCTTTGTTCGTCATTTTGATCAATTATGTGTTGTTATAGCCAAGGCATTTTTTCCCAAAGAGAAGAAAGGAAAGTGAGATCTGAACTAGTGTTTTCCAAAGAGAATTCAAAGGCTTACTCATTCATTTAGTGATTCAATGAATGTTTTATTGTGCACATATTATATGCTCTACATTGTGTTGGGCATTGGGAATACAGAGATGTTTATTATCCTGCTCTTGCCCATTGACGATCTTGCTGTCTATTTGGAAAGACAGACAATTGAGGATAATAACATTAGTTTTATAGATATTTGTAATGCTTGACATAATTCAGGGCATACAAACAGTGTCCAAGAACAATACTTTGTAGATACGTGGTTAGTTAGAAAGTAGATTTTCAGACCCAGTAGCTCATAAATTTGGATGAAAGTATGATTAGCCTTCAGTGTGGGCTTCTTCACCCTGGAGTCGATCTGCAGAGAGTGGGACAGCTAATAAGGCAAGCTCCAGAGAAGGAATCTCCTAGGCCAGTCCTCCTAAACCTGCCTCACACAGAGCTAAAAGGGATGTTGAGATTCTGCCCAGACCTCATCTTGGC